GAAGCAGAATTAGAATTCATTAACAGCCTCAATAATTGGCACAACACGTGGGGAAAGCACTCATTTCTTAGACACTATAGCATTTGAATTGGTACAAGACAACAGCATAAGTTAGCAAAATATTTCAAAATATCTGACACAGTTATGCATGCAAAAAGCAATTATCCTAAACACACGTTCCACAGCTGTCACAGTTAATGCACACAGTTCGAACACTTGCATCGTGCAGTCGTTTGCCAATTTTACTTCATTCCAGATTTAGATTTAAGAACTGACCATGTTTACTCCCCCCATAAAGACCTTGCAACCAGCCTCTTTCTCCAAACTCTACAAGCAGCCTATTTCTTTCCACCAGCCCCCTTCCAGCCTCTACATCACCATTTTCCCAACCCTACTCCACTCCCCGCAGACAAAACTGAGGTCCTGAAAAGTGGCTCTGTGGTCTTTGTGCACTAGCAACAGTTTGCTCACTTTCCTCCCTCCTTAACCTGCTCACTGCTTCTCTCCCACTTAACTCACTATCAGCAGTAAATGCAAGACAGAGCCAGCCTGTGATTGGAGCTGCAATTCCTCAGAGAGTCTCTCCATTCTGACTGTGCGCGTGACTTTTCTATGAATGTATGCCACTGTGATTAAATTGTCTGTGGCATTTGGGCATTTTGGGGGTGAATTTGCCCCTGTGTACTTTGAACAAAGCATTCTAACGTATTAATCTACTGTCTAACTGCCTAGTTGAAGGACAGATAGTTGGATGATTCACAGTTAGAGGCAAGTGCACACAATTTGGTGGAAGATCAACACAATATTTGAAGCTTCTGAGTTTGGGAATATTAAAACATTTGAGGTTTTCCCTCTAGGTTTAGAACAATAGAGGGTCCATCTTGATACCATACATTAGAGATGGGGCCAAGTCAGTTAACAGAAACAGGACGTTGCCAACCCTTGGTAAATGATCCCTGGAGGTTTATTACATGAACCCCCATCTCCAACTTGGAGCTGTGCCCAGAGATTAATAAGTAGAAAAAGAGACGGGTTTGCACTTACATTGTGGCATTGCCTTAGTGAAGTGTCCTTCGAGATTTTTGTTCTCGAGTCTGTGAAGTTTGACTCAAATCCACAACCTTTTGACTCAGAGGTGAGTGTGCAACGCACTGAGGCACAGCTGACATATGTGGAACTTGTAGAACAATCCTGGAAGTTTGACAAAGCTAGTTGGGAGCATAGCAAATGCCCAGGCATCAGTATGCACAGGCCCACTACTCTGGGCTTAACTGGCCTTATGTTTCAGTTTATCTCTTCCCACTTCCTCCTCGCGTGGAAATTCACATTCATTAATCGCTTAGTTGCTCCGTGTGACCTCTGACCATGTCATCTCTCTGTGCCTCAGTTAATGTTGAAAAATGATTATGTAGATGGACAGGGAAGTCAGGATGTTCTGACTGCCACTCATTGCTTTTTCCTGGACGTGGCAACAACAGCTTGCTTTTACATACTGCCTTTGACCTAGCACAGGTACACTACCTGAAATCGGACACCCTCAGGTTTGAAGCCATGTTGGAAAATCTCTAGTTTTGAGGTTTAGTGGAAGGCTTTAGGTAGTCTGGGTCAAGCAGGATTGGAGAGGTGGGGTGGTTATGTTAAGGGTAGTTGGTTGGAACCATGTGCAAAGCAGAAAAGAGGGTAACTAGTCTGAAGCAACACTGCCTGTGCCAGTGCAGCGCCTGACCAAACTGCCCAGGGAGGTTATTGTCTATTTAGATTCTATTCAATTAAAATTGCTGCATGGAAGATTACAGAAATATCCATATTTTAGACACTGCCAGTTTTTGGATAGATAGTTTTGCAGTACTGTACTTATGAGCATAATCTGACAAAAGAAATTGATATTGGACCAACAAAGGGGATATTAGGATAGGGAGCAAATGCTTAGGTAAAGGATTAATCTTTCATCAAGGTTTTGAACGAAGGCAGAGAACATTAGTGAGGGAGTTCCATAGTTGAGAGTCATATTCAGCAGCTTGGGCCACCAGAGATTGAGAGAAGGGAAACATGAACATGAAAGGCAAGAATGGGATGGTTGTACAACTGGACAAGGTTACATCAATAGGAAGGATGAGACAGTGGAGGAATATGAAAGCATAGATGAGAATTTTAACAATGAAGCTGGATGGGGGTGTCTGTGTTGGTCTATGAGGACAGGGCTGTTAAGCGAATGGAATATGCCAGCAAAACTTAGTGTGGAATATGGGATAATTTTGGAAAATTCATATTGAGAGCATGTAAGTAACTTTTTGATCTGAATTAATCGATGAATTTATTAGGAGGCTTGAATATTTGATCGTAGTTCCCAAAGATAGTCCGGTATTTATAATCAGCAAGCTAACCTGATAATTCAGTATTTAATATAGAATTGTGATCTGTCTTTCTCAGTCTTGCTGCTAGCTTAGGGTGTTTTAATTTGAATTTTTATCAGGAGTGAGTAATTGTTGCCCTTTGGCAAGTCGGGTGATGTCATATTGTGCAAATAAGACTCTATGATTTAAAATAAATGATGGTCTGGGAGAGCAGGAGTCAGAACAGCTGAACCCCTCGCTGTTTGCTGTCAGCGTGGATAAGTATCTGAATGAAATATGTAAAAGATTCAGAAATTGTCTCTCCTGTCATATGTGAGACAGTCTGCCTGGTCTTGTGCTGTAATGAAGAGTGTATCACTACATAGAATGATGCAGCACAAAAGAAGATCATTCAATCTACTGTCTGTGCCAGTTCTTTTAAAGAGCTACCCGATTAGTCCCACTCCCCTGCTCCTTCCTCACAGAATTGTGATTCTTTTTTTTTCCTCCTTCAAGTGTTTACCCAATTTTCTTTCGTATGTTATTCCTGCAACTGATTCCATTACTGGTTCAGAAAGTGAGTTCCTGATCACAACTGCTCACTGTGTCAAAAATGTTTATCTCATGCCGCCACTGGCTTTTTTGCCAAACGCCCATAAATCTGTAACAAAACAGAAATTGCTGGGAAAGCTCAGCAGGGCTGACAGCATCTGTGAAGAGAAATCAGAGTTGGCGTTTTGGGTTGAGTGACCCTTCCTCAGAACTGAAATATTAATCTTTGTTCCCCCTTTCATTTCAAGAGCTTCTCAAGGAGCTTCATACAGTGATTTACTTTAGAATCACCGTGGCCTAATGTGTTACAACAAAATCTGATAACATTAACAGAAATGAGCACTGAATCCAGAAAGTTGGAAGGAGCTGTTGGGAGTAACAGCAGGCAGATACCCGGCTCTTAATGAGAGCACTGAGATGTTTAAGCAACAGCACAGAGCCTTAAGAACTTGGCTTAGGAACAAAGAACCTTGGCTTAAAGTTTTGCCTGAAATTTGGAAGTCTTTATCCTGCAGCTAGGGTGGGTATGTTACTAAATGAGCAATCCAGAAGCCTAGGCAAGTGATGTGAAGGTATAAATACAAATCCCATCATGGCAGATGAAAGTGGAACGTAAATATAATTGATTAAGTGCATATGGAATAAAAAGCTAGAAACACTGCCAGTGACCAAGTTTCAAGAAGCCAAGATTTCCCTCTTGAGAAGGACATCTACCATCCTTGATTAGTCTGACCTGTATGTGACTCCAAACCCTCAGCAACATGGTTGACCCTTAAATTCCCTACAAAACCGTCAGCCAAGCTGTCAAGTCGTATCAAAAATGAGAATCAACAGGAGTTGCCGTGATTGAAGAAGGCAACTTACCATCTCATTCAGGAGAACAATCAGTACAGGAAACAAATATTGGCCTTGCCAGTGACAATCCTCCCCCCTATAAGTGAAAGTTTTAAAATACCTACTTGACTGATTGGAACTTCTTGAAGTACTCGATTTCTGTAGAGAGGCTCCTAGCCCTGTGGTCCACAGCGCGACTGACTGAACCAAGCTCACCTAGTGCGTGTTCTTTTGTGAGCCCTGATGTATTTACCTTGTGCCATTATGTCGACACTTCATTGAGAATAGGGTGAGGTGAACTAGGGAGTATATGGTGCAGTACGAGAGTGCTGGGACACAGCACTCCAGAGAAAATTTAACACAAAAGGCTTCTACTTTTATAGTGATTGTCATAACCTTAGGATGTCCCAAAGTGTTTTCCACTCAATCACATGCTCCTGAAATGGAGACATTGTTGTGACGGAGAAAAGGCAGCTGCCAATTTGTAAGCAGTGTGTTGGAGAAGCAGCAGTGTTGATGAAGTATCCTCTGTTATTGATTGCGTGGTAAATATTGGCCAGGACAGTCTGGAGAACTGTTTTTGAATATTGCTATGGGATCTTCTACGTCAACCTGTGGAATTTAATGAGTCGCTCGAGAGGCTGTACTTCTGACAATTCAGCAGCCCTCAGCACTGCATTAAAGTGGTAGTTGACTTACCTGCAAGGTTCCCTGCTTTCAAGCAGCCTTTTGCAGTTGCATGCCGAGGTTTGGCATCGTAGTCCATTCTGCTGAGCCAGTATGAGAGGATTTTGATTTTGATGGGGTGTTGCAGTACCTGCTGCAACCACCAGAGGTTCATAATGAGCTATCTGGCAAGCAGACCTCCCTAATGGAAATAAATAGACATGGCAACATGTGCTCAGTTCTCAAAAACTATTCTTCACGTATCAAACTGCATCTCAACTCTGTGGAGATCCTAGTTTCTGCCTTTAAACCCTTCAAACTACAGTTTCAATTGACAGTCCAATTCTTTAATGCTTTTGTTTCTTTTCTGCTCCACTTAATGTCAGCAATGGCTGTGATGGGAGGGTTATCGTTACGTTAACTGGATTAGTAATCCAAAAGTTTTTGCATTAATGACCCCAAAAGACAAATTCCAATTCTACCAGGACAGCCAAGGAATTTAAGTTCCATTAATTGAATAAGTATGAAATAAAAGATTAATATTCATCAGTGGTAACAGCTGAATTGTCATAAAGACCCATCTTTAAAGCCCTTTGTGGAAGGAAATCTGCTAACCTTACCAAGTTTAGCCTCCATGTGACTCCAAACTCTCAGCAACATGGTTAATCCTGAAATACGGCTGCAATACCGAGCTAGCAGCACCTTTTCGAGTTGGCAGTAATTGCTGCCTTTGTCAATGATGTTGCCATCCCGCAACATTGAAGTTCTGTAATGAATAATTTCAAACCAATTTGAAGTCTGTGCTGAGATAGCAGGAACTGCAGATGCTGGAGAATCTTAGATAACAAGGTGTAGAGCTGGATGAACACAGCAGGCCGAGCAGGAAAGCTGACGTTTTGGGCCTAGACCCTTCCAACGTCAGCTTTCCTGCTCCTCTGATGCTGCTTGGCCTGCTGTGTTCATCCAGCTCTACACCGTGTTATCTTGAAGTCTGTGCTGCTTGATTACTGGTTTCTTCACTCGAAGCAGCCTACAGAGGGCGATCTACACATTCACTGAACTGTGTGCTTACATAAAATGAGAAATCTGTCATCTGCTACAGTAGTGCTACTCACCAAAATATCTGTGCTCCTTTGAATTCTGACCCCATGAGCATTCTCAATTATAATTGCTTCACAGTTGTTTGTTGTACCTTCAGCTGCCAGTGTCCTGAGCTCTGGAATTCCCTGTCTAAATTTTCCTGCCTCTACCTTTTTTTTTGTTTTAAGGCTGCTCCTTAAGACTTTTGATCATCCGTCCTGAGACGTCCTTTGTGAATTGTTGTCAAATCTTATCTGAAAATACTGCCTGAAAGCACTTTGTGTTGCGAGGTGCTATATAGATGCAGGTTGTTGGAGTTGCTCGGCCTCTGAAACGGGTGGCAGCCGGGGAACGCTGGTCTCTTCTCAGCCTGTGGAATCGTAGTCTACTCTTAATTTAAACATACATTCAACATACTCGATAATTCCAAAATAGTTCCTTCTTTTAAAAGTTGCTACTTCAAAGTTAGTTCCGTTGTTTAATTCACTTGTGGTACTTCTAGTTACCAGAAGTATTCCCATTAAAGATTTACTTCTGTTTAGTGCCTTTAACAATCTCAGGACATCACAAAGCCATTGACGTAGCTTTGAAGTGTAGTCATGGTTGAAATGTTGGAAAATTATGCAGTTCGTTTTTGTACAACAAGCTGTCACATCACAGTAATTAAGAAGAGTGCTGGTTCAGGGGTAAATATCGACCAGGCATCAGGGAGAACTCCACTGCTGAACTTAGAATAGTGTGAGGGATCATTCATATGTTTCACATTAACAAATGTGGTCAGGATCTCTATTTGATACCTCTTCTGAGTTATTATACAACTGAACAGCATCAGCCATTCAAGGGTCTGAAGTGGGACTTGAACCTGCAACCTTCTGACTGAGGGGTGAGGTTAGTACCCCCAAAGCCAAGGTTGACAGCTGATGTGCTACACAAATGGACATTCCATAACACTGCATGCACTCCAACACTTGTGGGAACAAAGGGAGAATTCCTTTTAGTCCTTATTGAATGGGCACACAGCTAATTTTGCTTCTTCTGCATTGTTTTGTTTGTGAGAGGCTGGGTGAGGGGCAGAGCAGAGAATGGGGATGAATGTTGTTCTGTTGGTGGCTTCACAAGAAGATTGTAGGAAGGGCATGCAGCTGGTGGATTAAAGTGTTTGGTTGGAATTTGAGGATCTCCAATCATCTCTTGAACTATGACAAAGCTCTTGTTTTGTCATTTGAATCATTTATGCATTTTAACAGGCTCAGTAAATAGGCTAGGATCGACATGGCATTTGTCTGAAATACTAACAGCTAATGGCAAAGAACATTGAGTTCAATAATAAAGCGCGCTCTCTCTCTCACACACATCTTTTTCATGTCCTCACTCTCCCACACTTCCCATTGCACTTGTCCATTTGCTCTTGCTGTCCCTGCACTTTGCCCTTGCTCATCACCCCTTCCCACTTTCACTCAGTTTGCCCCTCATCAACCCTGTACCTCCCCTTCATTCCCACCCTGTCCGTCACTCTCACTTTCTCTTTATTTGTCTTTCTGAGCCCTTTGCTGAAGAAAGTCTGGCTCAGGCACTTGATGTAAATGCTGCAGGTCTCTGCTGTCATTACAACAGTCATACTCTCTCCAAAGTCCGCACTTATGTTGTTGCAATCAGATACGTCATGCACCCAAGGTCAGATTGTATTGCTATAATTATTGCCTCTTCTTTCTCAGCGAAATGCTGAGCATTTTCTCTGTGTCCACACAGCAGCATCTCCAGATTGGGCCAAATACCTGACCAGCAAAGACAGTTCCTGTACCAACAGCAACAGCAGCAGCAGTTACAACAGTTACTGACCTCTCAGCAACTCACTCCGGTAAGATTTGGTGCGTTTCTGAGTCGTGATAAAGAAGCCGAGATTTCTTAGTTGCGAATTCGTCGGAAATCTGACTCGAGGTCATGGGATGGCTAAGAATGGACTTTGGGATAATGTTGCCAAAGTGCAGCAGGGTGACTGAAACAGAATCATAGATGCTATATTCTGGATCTGATCATGTCACACCCCAAGTCAGATCTTTGTCGATAACATTAGAAGGTCGAAGGACCATTGGCATCTCCATTTTTTGGGGGCCTTTAACTTGCTAAAACAACCCAATGTACTTTCATCAGGCTTTGTGGGAAATTGAGACATTGAGCCTAGTGTGACGGTACTAGGGGGAAAGCCTAGATGGATGAATTAAAATTTGGCCAAAATGATGAGCTTTTAAGGAGGAGTTTCAATGGTGGGGTGGGGTGGAGAGAGAGAGTTGGAGAGGCAGAAGAGTGTAGAGATGCAAAGCATGGTGCTAGGGAGTAGGTGGTGGCATAGTGGTCATATCACTGGTTAAGTAATCTGGGCTATTGTTCTGGGGTCATGGGTTATAGAGTCATACAACACAGAAGCATGGTCCATCTAGTCCATGTTGACCATGTTCTCAAATTAAACTAATCCCATTTGCCTGCATTTGGCCCATAATCCTCAATACTTTTCCTATTCATGTTCCTATCCAAATGCCTTCTAAATGTTGTAACTGAACCTGTATCCACCACTTCCTCTGGCAATTTATTCCACATATGAGCCACCTGCTGTTTGAAAAAGTTGCCCCTTATGTCCTTTTTAAAACTTTCTCCTCTCACCTTAAAAATATGTCCCCTAGTTTTGAACTCCACCCACACCCTACGGAAAAGACCCTTGTCATTCACCGTATCTATGCCCCTCAAGATTTTCTCAATCTCTATACGATCACCCCTCAACCTCCTACGTTGCAGTGAAAAATGTCCCAGCCTATTGTTATTGTGAAATATGAATTCAGTAAAAAGCTGGCCTAATAAACATGATGTATCCATTGTCATAAAAACCCGTCTGGTTCACTAATGTCATTGTAGGAAGGAAAGCTGCCATCCTTATCTGGTTGAGGGGCTGAATGTCCTACTCGTGTTCCTATATCTTATGGTCTTATGACCTATATATGACTGTAGACCCACAGCAACGTGATTGACTCTTAACTGCCCTCTGGGTAATTAGAAATGAACCATTCAGCCTGGCCAGTGAGCCTAAAATCCCATTAATACATTTTTTAACAAGTGAGGAAAGCATGGATATCCAAGGTGGGATAGGAGGCGGTTGGTACATGTGACTCCCGAAGAAAGGAGATCTGGGAGAGCTAGTTTGTAAACTGCCAAAAAGTAGAGAAGGGGCTGTGAAGTCATGATGGGGTGTAATCAGTAGACTGAGAATTTAAAACCTGCATTGTGGAAGTAAGGTTTAATATAGGTCTGTGAAGATGGGAGTAATGGGTCAATGGAAAACTAGAATGTAGACAGTAGAGTTCTGGATAAAGTGAAGTTTACAAAGGCTAGGAGACCAGCTGAGGGGACAGGGAAATAGTCTGAAGTTGACAAATGAATGAGGAACTCTGCCAAAGATGGAGAAACACCAGCCATTGTACAAACGTGCACTGAAGTGGAGGTAGGGAAGATTAACAGGGATGTAGCTGTCAAGAAAAGCTGAATAGGCTGGAGCTGTTCTCCCGAGATGTTTACCCGTTTGAGGGGTGACCGAGTACAGATCGCTATCAAGAGTTTTGAGAACGATGGCATTGGCTATTTCCAGTTTCGGCTGGGAGTAACAATTAGGGACTACACGTGTGGAACAGTCTTTAATAAATTGAATAAGGTAGTCAAGGGAGCCACCCTTAAGAATAAGGTGGTTAAGATATGGAACTTCCATTTCTCAGGTAGAGTGATCACATTGAACAATAGCGAGGCTATGTGGACAAAAATGGATCACCAGAAAGGAATCATAGAAGATCTATAGACAAAGTCAAATAAGGAGGATGGAAGGAGGCTGTTATCAATCATTCGACAGTGGGACAGACCAGTAGGGGCAAATAACCAATTCCTGTGCCGTAAAATTACTAAACAAATATATCATTGAGACACAGATGGTTTGTGACTATGAATTTTAAGAAGATATAAAAGCCATCCTGGGAGCTAAAGATAATGTTTTTTTCTTCACCAAGTGGATGTGGACTTCATTGGCTGGGCCAGTATTTATTGCCTGTCCCTAGTTGCCCTTGAGAAGGTGGTAGTGAGCTGCCTTCTTGAACCACTGCAGTCCACGTGCTGTAGGTTGACCCACAATGCTGTTAGGGAGGTAGATCCAGGATTTTAACCCAGCAATAGTGAAGGAACAGCGATATATTTCCAAGTCAGGATGGTGAGTGGCTTGGAGGGAACTTGCAGGTGATGGTGTTCCCATGTAAATACTGTTCTTGCCTTTCAAGGTGGTAGTGACCGTGGGTTTGGAAAATGCTGTCTAAGGCTCTTTGGTAAATTTCTGCAGTGCATCTTGCTGATAGTACACACTGCTACTACTGAGCGTTGGCGATGGAGGAAGTGGATGCTTGTGGTATTGAAGGTATTATGGCTTCACTGAGCTCAGAATAGGCTGCAGCTTGAAGTTGACAACTTTATAGTCTTTGTTATTGAATCCCGTACCAGCAAATCTGCTAGGACAGCTTAAAAACTAGTCTTGACCATATTGGTCAGCATTGAGCCATATCTCGATGGGTTTTTTATATATAATGTCTCCTGTACCCTGACCCAGGACCAGCAAGCATTGATTTATCAGATGATGCAACAACAGCAGCACCGACAGAGGGAGCTCCAGCGGCTACAAATGTCTGGAACGTCACAACTCCCTGTCAACAATCTCGTACAAGGATCTCCGTCCCTGCCTGTCCATTCAGGCCCAAATAACTCTTTCCTTTCTGTTCACGCTGACAGCAATGTACAGAAAGCACAGGTAAGCAGACAGCTCTCCTACTTAGTGTGCACACGATCCACCGCATCCCTGTGGCCTCCGACCCTGTCTCTGTCAAGGTCTCCCTCACGCTCTCTTTTTCTCTTGCACTCATCCTTTCCTTTTCTCACATGCTCTCCTTCTCCTACACATCCTTTCTCTGCTCCCCTCTCCTTTCCCTTATCTGTCTCCCCTTGTCGTCTCTGTCATCTTGTTTTTCCCATTCCTCTCGCCCCCCCCCCCCCCCCCCCCCCCCCCCCCCCCCCCCCCCCCCC